ATCCGGGTAAAACAGCTGTTGGAACAAGACTCACATCAACAGCAGTCGGCAGAATTGAACAAGCTGAGACAATCCAGCAGCTGTTGTTTAAGTACCCAAGGTTTTAATGAGGCCCGTCTCACGTAAACACCACACTGAAGATTACTACACTGGCATCTCACCCACTGGAGCACAATGGTGCCATTGCATTTGTTTTTATAATAAGCACGTAAACAATGACTGGGCAACTTCGGTCAGAGTATACAGCACGACGCAACCCGTATTAAAATAATGGAAAGCCGAAGGCCATTGATAAGCAGTATTGGATAAATTCATCAAGCCTTTCACTAATCCAATACTTTAACAAATTTAGGCCAACTTTCAAAAGTTCTCTTATACAATGATTTGACGTAAATATTGATTATATAATCATTACTCACTTGGACACACTCTTCAAACTACTGCATGAGAAAGGTTACCAGTGTCGTGCATTTCTACGTTTCCAGCAGGTCAGGAGTACTTTGTTAGATTTCTTAATTAGTCTTGATCTCACAACGGCTCCTTCACAGCAGCACTGGATTTCCAAACTCACATGACAGGCTTTATGGATTGCTGAATGTCATCAATAATGCCAATAAGAGGTATAGGACGCCCTCTAGTGGCTACAGGCTGGACTGTAGCTGATGAATGGAAAATACTTAAATTGTGTATGTGCACACAGCATATGTGTTCTTAAATACAAAAACAGCTTTAAAAATACACTCAGATGTGCCCCCCCCGAGTCAAGTACATTTTCAGTGCAACTACCAAAAAAAAACTATTTGTATATTTGTTGTAGGTAGATTTGCTTTAAATGAAAATTCTGTCATAATCTGTCGTTTTATCAAACTCATATGAATGCAAAAGGAATTATTAGTGAACGTAAAAGATGCTCTTTTTCTCAAAATGAACAGAGGATGCATTAAATTGATCAAAAGTGCTATTTCAATGTTACAAAAAAATCTATTTTTTTCTCTTTAAGAATCCTCTAAAAAAAACTGTCTCATGGTTTCCAATGTTTTATCAAACTCATATGAATGCAAAAGGAATTATTAGTGAACGTAAAAGACGCTCTTTTTCTCAAAATGAACAGAGGATGCATTAAATTGATCAAAAGTGCTATTTCAATGTTACAAAAAAAATCTATTTTTTTCTCTTTAAGAATCCTCTAAAAAAAACTGTCTCATGGTTTCCACAAAAATATAAAATAGCTGTTTTCAACATTAATAATAAGAAATAGTTTTGAGCACCAAATCGGCATATTAGAATAGCTTCTGAAGGATCATGTGACACTAATGACTGGAATAATGGCTGCTGAAAAATCAGCTTTGCCATCACAGGAATAAATTACATTTTAAAATATATATATTTTTTAAATTTAACTTTTTTTTACTTGTAATAATATTTCACAATTTTACTTTATTTCTGATCAAATAAATGTAGCCTTGGTGAGCATAAGACACTCCTTTCAAAAACATTTTTAAAAAACTACCGAATCCAAACTATTCTATAGCTAAATAATTTGAATTGGTGTGCATGCTCTAAATTTACCTGCTTGTCATACTCCTCCACAGAGAGGCTCCTGTAAGTAGGAAAATAAACATTAATGGGATCTACACTGATGTGGACACCACATCAACATTTGTTTCTATTCTTATGAGTAACAACAGTCACACATATTAAGAGTATTATGGTATGAAACAAACCCACACCTCTGGATCTGGAAAGAGCCACATCTCTCATCAGCTGTATCATCACGAAGAGAGAGACACACATGGAGATGAGGCTGAACACACGACAGGGACTAAGGAACACAAACCTGCATGGAAAAACAAACAAACAGGTTTCCCATCTTTAATCATGTGCACAGTTACAGTCAACCGACATCTAACTATCACTTTCGTATGTGTAGTGCTTGTTTGTTTTTTTTCAGATAAAAGCTGTAAGATTAACTAAGATCTGTCATCATACCTTTAAAAACAACTCATGTGTTGTTATTATTTCTGTTTACAAGTTACCTCTTATGTAAAATCATATGCTTTGAGGGTGAAACTAATTCCCAATTGCAAACCAAATTACTATTTATACAGTCAAGTCAGTCAACACAAATACAATATTTATCGACATGCCACATGATTTCTTTCAAACTGAATATAAGCCAAGAATACACTGACAACTTTTATGCCTGCAGGGAAATTTTGAATTCAAATTTTAGAAGTTTGTCTGCAAAAATGTATTCCTGTTATGCAAAGGAAACTATTTTCACCAGTACAAAAGGTCCAACACCTACTAATAGCAACACAACTGTAGTGAAGTCCAGTGCAACCACAGATACAGAGAAAATGGTTAAGGGAAAATGCAAAGTATACAAAAAAAAAACAAAAAAAACCCGTTAGGCCTGCTGATTTAATTAGGCACAGAAATGTAGCGCATTGGAAAGCGTTAAAGACTGACCGATATTTATTGTAAATAAATGTAACATTTCATTTAAACTCCAACATCAGTAAAAGAAAAGGTGATGTTTACATTCATAAATTCTGCATTCAACTGATGTAACGTTAATAAAAATATGCTGCGTCATGTATCTCACCAAAACGCTATATTTGTAGTTGCGAAGAGAGCGGAAGTCCATAACGGTCTCTTCCAGTTAATCAGCTTTGATATACGACACAGAGGATAAGTGTCTGCAGGGTGTCGGACTCCCGAAGGTTGCTCTTCCTCTTTCTCTGCCATCTCTCTTCCACCCGAGTTGAGTGATTGGGAGGAAGTCTCGCCGGCGCTCTTTCCCACCGGCTCCACCTCTGAAGCATCCAGGCTGTCGCATCCACCCTGATTAGCCATAGCAAACGACCGCGAGCCCGCTCCCCGCTCCTCACGCGCAGTGTCGCGACGCGCACTGCCAGCTGCTGTTGTTTAGTCGCTGACGTCACTCAGAGGCAGCCCCGGGTTGCTGTTGGGAACACTGACGTCATCGTTCAGTCAGCTGTGCGACTTCCACCTGCTCTGGGTTACCGATGCGTGCAGCTTATTGCTCGCAATTACAGCCAAATCAACGTTTTGTTTGATTTTAATTCATATCACAAGGAAATAATGCATAGATTTATTCTAGTCATGTTTTTCTTCTAGTTCATCATCTTCATTCTCAAGTTTTGAAAAATATTTCTTCTTTAGCCAAGTTTTGAAAAATATTTCTTCTTTAGCCTATTTGCTTCTTTTCCAGTCATATGCAGATAATCTGATATTTTATTTCTTTTGAAGACAAAATATGAATAGGCTCAATACGCTTTTTATCCACTAGGGCGCAGTGAACATTATTGGTAGAATCACCCACTTGCAGTAGAAAGAAGGAAAGAAAGAAAATAATATAAAAGTATACAATTAAAAATGTTATTCAGGCATGATTATTTTTAACATCTCCAACGTTTAAAGTTCTGTTGTTGTATAGCCAATAAGTAATTAATCCCTATGTCATTCGTTAAAATTAAAACATGATTGACAGCTGCTGACACTGGTGGATATCATATAAGATTTTATCCTGGCTGTAGGATAAAATATTGGCTCAGAGCCAATAGTAACACTAGTTATATAAATGTTTGATTGAAGGGTCTTGTTATGAAAATGTTATGAACATTATTACTGTGCACAGAACCTAAGCAGCTGTCAGCTGATCAGTATATCTTAGTAAAAAGGATTTTTGTTTTAACACATATAATTTCTGACAGCCTTAAATAAATACTTCCATATTAAGGCAAACTACATTAATAAGTATTAAAGCAATTATACTGTATATTGTTTTATCAATAAGTTAATATCATTACGATCTCAAGTGTTACGATTCCCCCTAACCACATTACGATCTGTGAGATATGAAGGAAGATTACAATTGCCCTCAAATAAATGCCAGTGTTGTGAAACTCCAAAGCAATACTTGTTTCCATTTGAAAAAGGAAAAAATAGCTTGCTGAGATATACAAACTTAGACCAAGTCTTATATTTTATTATATTTTCCCAGTTGATTAATTACATAAAGAACTGAAAACATTTTGCTATGCTTATGTTTATGCAAATTAGACATTATCTAATTAAATATGCACTAGTCTGCATAAATATCCAGAACAGAAACCTGAATATTGGATAAAGTAAGGTTCAAAAAGTTTGTTTCATTTTGCTGACATATTGCAGTCAAATGTTTTTACAGAGGGGATTCTGGATCTCTTTTTATCACTCTTAACAGCCAGAAAAAAATTTTCACCATGCTTTTAGGAATAAAATGTTGTAGAAAATCAGATAATATATGAACAAATCCCACTGTAAAAACCTTTAGAATATAGATTGAAATAAAATTGTAAAGTCTGGTGCATGTAAGTGCAAATGAAGTGGAGATTTCTGGCTCAGTGCAAGAGATTTTTATTTATTTATTTTATTTTTTTGTTGAGAAAACAGCCTTTAAATATATCTACTGAAATCTACAGATGCAAACAGGTAAAGTGCAAAAAATAAATAAATAAATGTAAAAAATTATAAATAAAAATGTATTTTGAATGTTTTTTTCCCTCTGCTCTGAAACATCACATTATGAAAAGCCAAATAGACCAAAATCATAATCAATCGATGCATGTCTTGCCCTAAAATTATTTGAGCATTATATATAAAATGCATTATATTTGGAAATAAATACCAATCAGATGTAAGTTCATTCTCATTTTACATGGTAAATGGTAAATCTCAGTAATACCTGCCTTTGAGAGACAGGCTCAGTGAACAGCAATGACCTAATTTTTGATGTTACACAGTGAACTGTGTACTTCTGAACTGGCTGGTATTCAAAATTACAGCTTGGAACAAGTTTTAAATACATTTAAAATATTTGATATTATTGTATATTCTGAACTTAACATGATTTCAGACAAATATCATCTCTTTTTGTTTAAAATCATCTTGCAACAAGTGAGCAAAAACAGCGCTGTGCACCAGAAAGAAGTGTGGAGCCACTAATTGGACTGAATTTCAGTGGCAACAAAAGCCCTGGCTAGAAAATTCCAGCCCTGGTTTTACAGGGTCTGCTTTGTTGCTGCAGTGTTTGTTCTCTACTGCTGTGTTAACAGTTATCTTTTCGGTGGTGGCCTCTCCCCACCCTTCCACACAGTGCATGAAATGTTCCTCAGCACAAACCCGTCCAGAGCCACCGTGGCACAGTACAGGCAATGCTTCGTTCTGCACAGGACACCATCCAGACACCAGGAGTGGCCCAACAGCTGCCTCGCAACCATGTTCCCACACAGCTTTGACTACAACCAGCCGATGAGAAATCGTTGAGAAGGAGACATGATGGGACAGTTCCCAGAGGATGTGGTGGGTGGCTCCACCACAGAGGATCTGGAATGCAAGATCTGCTACTGTGCTTACAGCCTGTCAAGTCGACGGCCCAAGGTCCTCGAGTGCTGCCATTGTCTTTGTGCCAAGTGCCTTGCAAAAATCCTTGATTTAGGCGAATCCTCTCCGAACGCAGTGGTCTGTCCGTTCTGCCGCTACATCACAGACCTTCCCGGAGAAGATGTGGACAGTCTACCGGATGAGTATAACTTGGTGACGGCACTGCTGTCCATCCAGACACGGAAGCATCAGAACCTTTATGACAACCAAGGGGAGATTCTCCTCAGTCCCAGACGTCTTAACTCCCTGGTGGGACACTCGGCCTCAGCTTCTCCCACCTCGATTCGTTCCAATTACGTGGTGATCACCATTATGGAGCCTCGACAGGAGTCTGTTATTCCAGCTTCGGGTAGGGATTACCGCTCTTCCAGTCAGGACTCCATGTCCTCCGTTACCCAGAGATGGACAGTGTGGAACTGTGCGGCCCTGCTGTGCCAGACTTCAGCACGCATCCTGGTCTGGCTGCTGGGGTTGCTGTACTTCAGCTCGCTGCCTCTAGGTGTCTATCTGCTAATCATGCAGAATACCACGATGGGGGTGTTGATGGTCAGTCTGGTACCTGTCAGTCTTCTAATCGTCATGGTGTACGGCCTTTGCCAATGCCTGTGCCGTGAGTTTTGGGACTGTGTACCACCATAATGACCAAAGCAATAAGTGTAACTGTTATGTGTGGATACAATGATTGGATGTGCTAATGGTCCAGCCAGTTTATGGAAACTCGTAAATTTTCCAGTTTATTGGATAAACAATGTACACTGAACTGAAATACAAACAATAAAAGTGCACAGATATAATTTAGTAGGCTGTCATACAAATTAAAGTCATGTTAGTATACTTAAAAATAGTATCCACCTCAACAAAATGATCCTCTCTCTCTCTCTCTCTCTCTATATATATATATGTATCTTTTTTTTTTTTTTTATAACTATGATTGTTGAATGTGTTTTTCCTGGAGTGGCTGAAATGGGCAGTTCAATAACGACATCTACTCTAGGTTTGCTTGATGTACATTTTCTCTGTCTGAATAATTAACATACAATAACTTTGTTAGTCATTGGATGTTTGGGTAACATTTTACAGTAAGGTCCAATTAGTTATTGTTAGTACTGCATTAAATAACATTAACTAACAATGAGCAATATATTTGTTACAGTATTTAATAATATTTGTTAATTTTAGTTAATAAAAATACAACTGTGAGTTCATGTTAGCTCAGGTCCATTAGAAAAGTATTATCAGATACACTTTTGATTTCAATTGACTTTAATTACGATGTGGTTAACTAATGTTAACAAATGGAACCTTATTGTAGTGTTATCGATGTTTGCAATATAAAGCACTTAACCTACAACATATCACATACTCAATCATGGGTAGGCCATATCTTTTAACATTTAATAATCATGTTTATTAGTTTGACTTTGTTTCACTTGGAACAAAAAGGCATGTGAAACACAAACATGTCCGAACATGTTTTCATGACAAATTTACAAATGAACCATAATGTGTATCACAAGAATGATGAGGAATGTACTTTAGTTTGCAAAAGAAAAGAAAAAAAAAAATTCATCCCAAAATAAATGGAAACACCAAGATCAGATGCAGCTCTCATTACATAAGTTGTGTAAGTTGTTGCAAAAACTGGAAAAATCAAAACATCAGATCTTGATACATTATAACATTCCACTTATACACATGCAAATGTGCAGGTTTGTAGGGGATATCACTATTATTCACATTTTTATATAAAGCAATGTTTTATATTGTGTTTCGTAAAACTTTTGATGCTGCTTGAATAAGATGCACTGACCCTGACCAAGTCTGTTGGTCCGCACAAATCCTTTGGAGGGGGGGCGGGGGCAATTAAAATAGTTTATACTACGGGGCCGTTGAATACTTGAATCTGATTGGCTGACGAACGTTCTGAGGTGTGCAATTATTTTCAGGGAAACGCACGGCGAACGTAGCTCCAGGCAGCTCTCTTGACCGCATTACAGTTCCATATCACTTCGCATAGTTAACTGTAATAACGGAAATTAGCATTACAGTACCTATACAGCACACTGGAATTACTGCAATCACACCTGCTCGCACACGCACACTACGGTCACGCAGTTTGCACAAAAAGGTGTTGTCAGCGCTGCCCTGACGATTTTATCAGTTAGCCTATACGACGTTTTGGAACTAGCAAAAGAGGCGTTGGATGAGATGCCGAAGAAATAATCCTACTCACAATAGCGATTTAAGTACAAAAACCGGACGAATCCCTTTATTATTCCTTACTTAATTCATAGTTTATGTTGCATGGACAATTAAGCACTTTATGTAAAATAAAGAAAAACTGATGATTCAATAGTTGTTCAAAAGGGTGTGAGTTTCTGTGTGTGTTGGGACACATAAATAAATATAGATAAATATACATTCCGTAACGAATTTTAAAAAAAGTTTTAGGGGTAAGAAATATAATTTTTTCTCAATGGAGGTCATTGAAAAGTCCCTACCACAAAACAGTGCCTAAGGGGACCCTAATCTGCACCATAACTGTATTGCCCCACGATATATGAAAATGATTAAATAAATAAACGAAACATTGTAATATGTAAGTGTGCATGCATTTTCTCACTGTCACAGCCATCTGAACTATGGATAACAACCCAAGCGAGAAGGAGGACATGTTATTGGTAGCTTGTGTCTAGTCATGTACCAAGTGCTCGAGGAAGTATGACTGGACCTTGAGAGAGCCAATCAGATCGCTGGATTTCACACTAACAACAAACAAAAGATCGGGGTTCCCTCTGCTGCTGTCTTTCTGTCCCTTTTACCCTATTTAGTCTGTCCGATCGGCTGGATGTCGTCTTAAATAACAAGGATCAACTTTCTGGATGTCTGTTATGTTGTTGTAAGCTGCCGTTTCGCTGTATTGGCGTGATTAATTCTGTCTAGCGTCTTGCTAACTCTATCAGAGAGGCTGTTTGCGGGCTAATCGCAGTTAGCTGGCTGGCTAGCCGACCGATCCGAATAAAACAACCCCGAAATCTCAACGACTCTTCTCCTGTGGTGTCTGACAGTGGTCTCTTTAGCCACTGGACACTGTTAGAAAGCTGTCCAGCTAAAGATAGCTGGCAAGCTGTTGGTATCGACGGCAGGAATCGGATCGCTATGTCAGGACCGTCATCGGGCTGTGGGTTTCTGATGTCGGTTGTCGTTCACGGAGACTTGGCTCTCAGCGAGCAGGAAAAAGAGCTCAACCAGCGGCTTAGAAGCCTTTACCCGGCCGTCAGCGATCAGGAGACCCCACTGCCCAGATCCTGGAGCCCCAAAGACAAATTCAGCTACATCGGCCTGTCTCAAAACAACCTCCGGGTGCATTATAAAGGTAACCAAGGCTAACAGCAGCAGATGATCACAAACACCAAGTTGTTTACCAGCTAAATGTTGAAGGCATTAGCCAGATTAGCTCGAGTCAAGTTGCACTTCTGATTAACGATATAAAAAATACACTTCTGTTAGCTTCTGCGTACTCGTATTTGTCAGTGAATCAAACCTATTTTTAGTGTCACAAACTGCAAAAATCGTTACGAATTTAGGAATGATTTAGAGTGATAATTGAGCACATTCGTCGATATAAGTAAACGAATTGTTAACTAGAAACTTTGATTTCTAATAACTAACTGCGACATGTTTGAATAAAAATAGCCTCCCTTTAGCATTATTTAGCACCATTCCTAGCAGTCAGCATTGTCTAGTAATTAAACTACTGCTCTTAATTGAAGTTTTATGCATAACAATGTGTGTTTCTGTGTGCATATATAACATGTAACGTTAGTCTTTGATAATAAACGATTAAGGTATTAGGTTTGAAAGTATAAAGTTCGTGTACTGTAACAAGGAGATGGTGGTGAGTTTCAGCAGCGAGCTATAAAGATGCTTCAGTCATTTCCGGAAGTACCTACTGTATGGAGTTTCACAGTTGAAATGCAGTCATTGTCAGCTCTTTTGACAACATGATCTGTGTACAAAGGCTGCGTCTTAATACACACATGCTGATGTAGGTAGTGATCGAGCCTGACGCATAAGCTCTAGCAAGGCCTGTGAGTGTTTATCTGCAGAGGCAGGTTTTCTGCCATCGAGAGTATGTAAGGCTTTTACTAGGAATTCAGCAGATAAAAAAGCTGTAATATATGCATAATTTGATTACCATAGTGAGTTATTAAATAAGCCTTTGTAATCCAGTGAGGTGTCTGCCATTTCCCTCAGCTGAGTCATAAAGGTAGGCCACAGAATTAATTAGGCCAGTCAGTGCTGACGACTGGTAGGTTTCAGGTAGACTGCCTTAAATTACCAGTAGGCCAAGATATCTTAATAAATGTACAAGCTACATAAGCTTATGAATTTACTTCAGATATACTGATTATCGGGGGTAATGTTACCAAAAGTGATAAAAATGCACCATATATTTAACTCTAAAGCCTGAGCCCTAACCTATTAAATAATAGTGTGTTAAATAATATATATATTTTATATGTGTTTTATACTTTGTTTTATATCTGATACATCAGGATTTTATGACCCATTTAGTCTGATATAGAAGATGGAGCTTGTACACAAGGAGAAAAAAACATCTACATTTTAGGTAGAGGCCCACACTGAGCAAAAATGTGCAATTTGGTGCAGTTGTTTTTATTTAAATGACCAAAAAGTAAGATTAAATTCTGATACCTTAAATATAAAGCAGTTAGATTTTTTTTTATCCGTATAACAGACTACTTAGAGTAATTTCACAGAAGTGTCAGCTGTCACATTAGCTATATGTCCCAATGATATGGCTTCGTAAGATGATATTTAAATTAGTTTTATGATCGGTGCTCTGTAGTTTTAATTTTGGGGGGAAACGCATAATGCAATGCAACACGATGATTAAGAGATGTGCAAATAAATGTTCCTCAACAATCCTGTATTATTATAAGTAACTGATACATACATTTTTACACAATTAAAAGAAAATGGATTATCAAGTAAACCTAATTTGCTTCAGTCCAGTAAATGTTTGTCTTGGAATATTAATAATGACATAAAAGTTATTGTTATGTTCACTTTATAAAAATCACAATCAGATTTCACAGCAAAAAGTAATTTTGGAATTTAATTGAGAACGCTTTTTATTGCTAAAAAAGTATGAACTGTCAGTCAGCGGGTAGAAGGCATATAGAGGATTGTGTACAGCAGGTTTTCCAGCAAAGTTTCGGTCATGTTTGTCAATTAGAGGCGTTAGAAATTCATGAGTCAAATATGATGCAAAGGCTTTATGTTTCAAATGTGTTGACAAAAGTGCTGTATTTTTGTTGTTGCTATATTTTACAGTATGCTATTTTATGTCTGTCCAGTTATGTGTTAATAATGATTATAAAACGGATAGTTTCGGTTAGTGGTCGACCGATATATCGCCAAGGCTGATATATCGGTCGATATTTGGCATTTCTCAAATATCGGCATCGGCTGATAAGTTTTTCTGCTTGGCCGATGTGTTCGAGGCGGGACTTTTATTTTGACGGCGCTGAGAACGGCAGCGCCAGAGCACACAGTGCTCACATTCTCCCTCTTGTTCGCTGTTGACTCGTTAACAGTTCTGCCTAATACAGATAGAAGTTTGTCTAATAATCCGATAGAACTGTTGAACAAATGAATTAAAAGGTATACAAAAAGTATTATAACGATTGCTTTTATATTATTAGTAATAGAAAGGCAAACATTATAATACTTTCTCGTTTGCCGTCAGCATTCAGCAAATACGCATATAATTTAAATGGGGATATGCCGGTATCAAATTTTCATGTTGCGATTAATTGCTAATG